GGGGGGCTGGCATGCTGTTTTTCTTTTTTTTTGTGGAGTGAGAAATAAAAAGAAACAAAGTAAACGTGTCACTTTTCGGCAACAAATTTTAGTTCCTAACGTTCATTTAACGCATCCAAAATTAACGATATTCGGATTCATCTGAATCCAAATGCCGAAACGAATTTACTTTCAGACCCCGAATCCCGAAAAACGAAATAACGAAACATCCGAAACAAAACAAAACATTTTTGCCGGATTACATGTCTATCTGCATCCAAACAAACAATGAGGCCGTGTGGCCCAGGGGCTCGTGTCTTAGCAACCAATGACATCTGAAAAAACTGGAAGAATCACTTTGGAGAAGCCAGCCAACAGTTTCCTTTGAATGGAAGATTGTTATCATGGTTGATTCTCACATCATAAAGCCCCATTCTCTCATTATGGCCATGAGCTATACACTGAGTGGCCAGATTATTATGACCACCCCATCAGTACTTCGTTGGGCCGCCTCGTGACTCCACGAGATGGTGAAAGGTGATGCGAGGAATCTGACACTGCACTGTGGCCCTTCTGTTGTCTTGTACCAGTCTTGCCCCTCCCCCGTTCTGCCCTAACATTGACTAGTCGCTGACGGCCACAATTCGCACGTTCAGACCCAGATTTTCGGCTGACAGTCCGGTCTTTAAACACTTTAACAACAGCCCCTCTTGAACATTTAATCAATTCTGCTGTTTTGCTGATACTCGCTCCATGGCTCCGAGCGCCAACAATCATCGCACGTTCAAAGGCTGTTAAATCTCGTTGTTTCCCCGTATCTTCAGAAACAAATCACGTCTACTGTCGTGGTAACCAACCCGCTTCCCTATTTATAATGGTCTGGCCCTCCAGCAACTTCAGCGCCAAATTATAGCTCATTATCCTACAACCGTCAGGTGGTCATAATAATAATCTGGCCACTCAGAGTACATGAATTCACACAGCCAGGTTTTAAAGCACTCCCCTCATAGTTCTCCTTTAAAGCTGGACACGCCATTGTTCTGGAATGTTGCAAAGCTGCATCTGAAGCAACTATAGTATTTAATCCTGCCAGAGGACAGTCCAGAAACAAACCTGTTTGACAATAAAATAATGTGGCAGGTCATGTAGGCTGGAGAGGTGGCCCTTCCTTGAGTCTTTTTAAATGCTTTGGTGCCACATTCTTCTCTTTGTATTGTGTGTTGCAAGGGTTCTTTTTAACTTTAATCTATGCTGATTTTGAGTTGCTTGTAATCACGGGGTCTATATATTGTGAAGCATTCTTGAACCGCAGTCAGTTCACACCGGCTGCTATCGCAAAGAGAAAGCTGAAGAAAGCTTTGGAATGATGGTGACAATGAATCTACTATTCCTGGTATTCATATCCTGTTCTGTGGTTGCAGGTGAGTGGATTGCACAGTTATGGTTTTTTTTTTTCCATTTCATTCCCTTTCCTTTCTGTAAAAATGTTGCTGGAGACATAATCTGTACGCAGCCATGGAAGTGAATGCGCTTCACTCTCCTGAGCATCTGGTCCATATGGAAAAAAATAACTTTTATTACAAGTCTAAAAGAGTTTTGATCCGCAATGGTTTCTGGCTCTCTCGGTCCTGCGGACTTTCTCTCTCTATCTCTCTTCTCCTTTTCTCTCTAGGTCTGTCTGATGTTTCTAAAGCTGGACATTAGACATGTGCACTGGCAATACATTTGTTTCCTCTTCATTCGGATTTTGCGTTATTTTGTTTTTTCGGGATCCGGGTCCGAAAGTTAATTCGTTTCAGAATTCGGATTCGGCCGAAATTCGTTAGCGGTAATCTGTACGAAATTTAGTTTTCGTAGAGGTGACGGGAGGACGCTAGTTTGTGTCCTCCCGTTACCCTAAAGAGAACAATGGGGAAAAGTCCTGACCCCATAGTTCTCCTTTAAGGAAAAAAATAATCATTTTTTTCTTCTCAAATGTCACTTTGCCGCAATGAAATTTTCGTCCAACAAACGACATTTTCGTACAGATTACCGCAAACGAATTTCAGAATCGGACATTCGGATTCATTTGCATTCGTTATATCTGTAATTCGGAATTCGGATACATCCGAATTTCCGAAATTTCATCCGAATTTCGATTCGCAACGAAACGAATCGCACGCGTCTACTGGGCCATACCCCGGTAGATTTTCATACGAACGTTCATATGAAACATTTGGTCTAAACATTCGATAATGTCATCAGAGACTTAACGCATGTCCTTCGAAAGTTCGTTTGATTTTTACATCCAATTTTGGAAATGAATGGAGTTTCTTGAACAAAAACAACATTCAGTGTGAGAATTTTGTTCCCACTTATTGAATTTTTTTCTTCGCTGTGGTGGAAAACGATCCTCCATCTGATCCTATTAGAAAATCGAACAAACTTTTCAAAAATTAATTTATCTGAACGAAGTTCTAACCGTGTCTCTATAGGTTGAACTCGATGGACTTGTGTCTTTTTTCAACCTGACTAACTATGTAACTATGTGTCTGCCCGGCTCAACTCTCTTAATCTTGCAGGTTTTCTCTTTCTATCTGGTCATTTCCTTCACCTCTATGCTGCCTGTATTTGAAATACATTTCTTTCTACCTTTCTTTTAGAGATCCCCAACTGGCGCCTAACATAATAAATCAGAGACCCCAAAAAGGCAAACCCATTCCCAACACGCTTCCATGGAGGGGGAATTTTGTGCCAGTGATCAGCGCATAGTGGACATAAAGTGATAACGAAATGGTCATTTTATTGGGAATTAGTTGTTCTTGTTGGGACATTGATTTTTTTTCTCTAGCTGGGTTAACTAGAGAAATCACCTGATTACCCCATGTACGCTAAACAGTATGGATGGAGGAATCTCCACTGCCGGCTATTGTATTCAGTAGGTCGGCACCCGCACAGTGACTGCATCTGATTGTGAGATAAAGAGGGCTGGATGAAACAAATCATTGCTTCAGATAGATAACCGGTAAAGACAGAACCGCTGTATGCAGATGGATACACTTTAGCTGTTAAAGAAAAAATACTATCTTAAACTTGTATAAAAATGTTTTTGTTCTGTGGGTTAGATGTACGGGAGAGTTGTCAGAACTTTTGCTCTGATTAAAATCAGTATTTTATTCATGAAAACCGAAAGGGATCTGAAATTAAGGAGATTCCCTATTAATCTTCATAAATTAACTGATTACCTAAGTTCTTTATATGCGCTAATGTAAAGACAAAATAAAAACAGGATAGTGCAATTATACAGTGTACATATATATATACTTACAATTTTATAATTAAGTATATATATATATTGTGGGGTATAGCTCAAATGGGGATCACCTTCCCTGGGAAAAAGGCAGTCGAGGCAGCAAAGTCCTTCTTTTATCTGACTTGCAGTCAGTTTTTATTTAAAGGGGTGCAATAAAACAAAAGACAAATCCTTGCCTTTCAGGCTCTCACTAAACAGACAGGTTTCCTCTCTTCTGGGGGGTGAGCTTATCTCAGCCACCTCACAAAACCAAAGTCCTTTCAGCAACCTTTTAATCAAACCATCCACCTTGAAGCTCTCTCAGAATGCTGTCTGAGTCCACCAGAGCAACATCATGCTCCAGCCTTCCCCCTTTTATCCCACCTGGATAATCAATCATTAAGCAATTAACAGTCCATGTGAGAGACACAAAACCCGAGCTGGATTATTCGGACCCAAAATCAACCTGAAAACCTGGTCTGGGTTCCGCTAGTCCTGTACATAGGAATAGAAAGCGAGGGGAAATATATATTTTCTCCTTTCCTTATGTCACAATATATATATATATATAGATATATATATATATATATCAACGCGATTTAACAGCCTTTGAACGCGGGATGATTGTTGGCGCTCGGAACCATGGAGCGAGTATCAGCAAAACAGCAGAATTCGTTACATGTTAAAGAGGGGTTCATTGTTAAAGTGTTTAAAGACCGGACATATAATCGTATATATAAAAGTCGAAGGGGGAGTATCCAAATTCTTGAAACATGTTGGCTTTCTATTGAACAGGTTATTCAATAAACCATCACTTGGGAGTCTTTGACCATTGGTGTGGCTTTCTTACTGCTTCTTAATTAATTAAATCTCAATCTTGAAGGATTACTTTGCTCATGACTGACATTTTGGGCCTAAAATTCCAGTAAAATGATCTAATCTTTCCAAGAGACACATTGAAATGATATTAATCTCTTTAATCTTTATGTCTCAATCAGCTACTTCAAACTGCTCGAAATGCCACCCCGAAGCTACCTGTGCAGACTACTTTGGCTACCTCCAATGTTCCTGCAAGGACGGGTTTATAGGAGACGGCTTTAACTGCTCTGATGTTGATGAATGCGCCTATTACTGGTCAAATAATTGTGGTTATTACACTTGTGTAAACACATATGGTTCATACTACTGCATGTGTCCATCTGGCTACCGCAATGACAGTGGAGCTGGATGTGTTGATGTAGATGAGTGCTCTAACCCTGGACTTAACACCTGCACTGTAAATGCCACATGCACCAATACCATTGGCTCTTATACATGTGTGTGTGCCCCCGGATACTTTGGGGATGGCTTCTCCTGTGAAGTGGATGAGTGTGCCCTTGGTGTTTGTGGTTCTGGTATGGAATGTTCTAAATACTATGGTTCCTATTCTTGCTATGATCCATGCCTCACATACACTACACTTAATGACCCATGGAGAAGCACATCCTATGTATATTACTCGTATTATTTTTCTTACTATTGGAATTGTGACTCTGACAAGTTTGGATGGTACCGATTTGTGGGCAGTGGAGGCGTCAAAATGCCGGAATCCTGTGTTTTTTATTATTCATGTGGCACAGCGGCTCCAATGTGGCTCCAGGGATCACATCCCCTCATCTCAGATGGGATTGTAAATCGTACAGCCTGTGCTTACTTGAGGGGAGATTGCTGCTCGTGGTCAACAACAGTGCAGATTAAATCTTGTCCGGATAATTACTACGTGTACAAATTAAGCGGAACACCCGCTTGCAGTTTAGCTTACTGTACAGGTGAGTTCTACATCATATTAATGTGATATATGTCAAGCCAGCCTTGTAGAACTGCACTCTTCTACTATGTAATGTAACATTTGGCCTTCTTTTCAGATCCGTCCTCTGTCACTGATGTCTGTGCATGTGCAGAGACAGAACAATGCTCCTTGGTTGATGGGAAATATGGATGTTACTGCAAAGATGAATATAACATTTCTGGTAAATATGAGTGTGCGTCTTGTGAAACTTTGTATTATATATTTTTAACGTCATTGTTAGGGTTTGTGTGGACCCTCAGGCCCGGATTTCCCACAAGGCCACCGAGGCCAGGCCTCGGGGCGGCAGAGCGCAGAGGGGCTGCAGCGGTGACCTTGTGGGGAAGTTGCAGGCGCCGTTGTAAGGTGTCCGGCGGCCACACACTACGGTCCGCCGCCATTCAATCACGACGGGGCGGCCCGAGCTCCGTAGTGTGCGGTCGCC